TTAAAAGTAAAAATCTTATTTCAACTTCTAGGCCTTTGCAACTAATTCACATGGATTTATTTGGTCCTTCAAGAACCATGAGTCTATGAGGGAATTACTATGGGCTGGTTATGGTGGATGACTATTCAAGATTTACTTGGGTAATGTTTCTTGCTACGAAAAGTGATGTTTTCAATACTTTTAAGAAATTTGCTAAGCTTGTCCAAAATGAGAAGAACACAAACATCACCTCAATTAAGAGTGATCATGGAGGAGAATTCCAAAATTTCTTATTCCAAAAATTCTGTGAGGAACATGGCATTGATCACAATTTTTCAGCACCTAGGACTCCTCAACAAAATGGAGTTGTGGAAAGGAAAAATAGGTCTATTGAGGAATTAGCTAGAACAATGCTAAATGAGACTAATTTACCTAAATACTTTTGGGCTGATGCAATTAATACAGTATGTCATGTATTAAACATAGTTCTAATTAGGCTTATTCTAAAAAGAACACCTTATGAGATTTACAAGGGTAGGAAGCCTAATATCTCATACTTCAAAGAATTTGGATGTAAATATTTTGTATTAAACAATGGTAAGGAACAACTTGGGAAATTTGATGTTAAAGTTGATGAAGCAATTTTCTTGGGTTACTCTACAAATAGTAAAGCCTATAGAGTGTTTAATAAGAGAACCTTAGCAGTTGAAGAATTTGTACATGTTGTGTTTGATGAGACCAACCAACAAGAAACAAAGCAAACTGAAATAAAAGACTTAACTGAATTGCTTGATCAACCTCCCTTAGAAAATGAACAAATTGAGATGCCTAGAGAAAGTGAATCAAAAGAAACCATTGAAAAGACAAGTGAACAATTGCCTAAGGAATGGAAAAATTCTAAGGATTTATCAATTGAAAATATAATTGGAAATATTGGTAAAGGAGTGACTACTAGAAAGTCTATCAAAAACATTTATAACACAATGGCTTTTGTTTCACAAGTTGAACCCAAAACAATCAATGAAACACTACATGATGAACATTGGTTGATGGTTATGTAAGAGGAAATAAACCAATTTGCAAGGAATGAAGTTTGGGACTTAGTGCCACTAGCAAGTGATCATCCTATAATTGGAAAAAAAAAATGGGTATTTAGGAACAAGCTTGATGAATTTGGAATCATTATAAGAAATAAAGCAAGGTTAGTTGCTAAGGGGTATAATCAAGAAGATGGAATTGATTATGATGAGACATTTGCCCCTGTAGCAAGGATAGCAGCTATTAGATTACTACTTGCTTATGCTTCAATAATGAACTTCAAGTTGTACCAAATGGATGTAAAGAGTGCTTTTTTAAATTGTTTCATACAAGAAGAAGTTTATGCTGAACAACCACCTAGTTTTGTTGATTCTAAATATCCAAATCATGTGTACAAACTTAAAAAGGAACTCTGTGGTTTAAAACAAGCTCCACGATCATGGTATGATAAACTAAGCAAATTTTTTTTATTAAAAATGATTATGTTAGAGGTAAAGTAGACAATACATTGTTTGTGAAGAAATTTCAGAAAGATACAATGTATGTTCAAATCTATGTGGATGACATTGTTTTTAGATCTACTAATCTCTCTCTATGTAAAGAATTTTCTAAAACCATGCAAGGTGAATTTGAGATGTCCACGATGGGAGAGCTCACATTTTTCTTAGGATTACAAATTAAGCAAATGAGTGATGGTATCTTTATAAGTCAAAGCAAGTATTGAAATGAGCTATTGAAAAAGTTTGGTATGCATGGTTGTAAGGAGGCTGCAACACCAATATCAAACTTATGCAATCTTGACCTGGATGAGAAAGGGATAGTTGTTGACCATTCAAAATACAGAGGAATTATTGGATCACTTTTATATTTGACAGCTAGTAGACTTGATATAGTGTTTGTTGTGTGCTTGTGTGCAAGATTTCAGGCTAATCCAAAAGAGACTCATATGAAAGCTGTTAAAAGAATACTTAATTATCTAAGAGGAACAATGAATGTAGGACTATGGTATCCAAAAGGAGTCTCACTAAGTCTGATAGGATATTCAGATTCAGACTATGTTAGGTGTAGACTTGATAGGAAGAGTACAAGTGGTACTTGTCACCTACTTGGAAGTGCACTTGTCTCATGGCATAGCAAAAACCAAGCATGTGTTGCTTTAAGCACAACTGAGGCTGAGAACATAGCCACAGGCATTTGTTATGCACAAATCCTCTAGATGAGACAACAATTGAAAGACTACGGAACTAAACTTAACAAGATTCCCTTAAGATGTGATAACACAAGTGCAATAAATCTCACAAAAAATCCAATCTTACATTCATGAACAAAACATATAGAAATAAGACATCATTTTCTAAGAGACCATGTTCAAAAGAATGATTGTGTGGTAGAGTTTGTAGAGACAAATAAACAACTGGCTGACATATTTACAAAACCACTACCAAAAGAAAGGTTTAATCAACTAAGAATTGAACTTGGAATAATTAATAAGTCTTGCTTGAATTGATTGCAAAGTTTCACTTGAATGTGATTGTTTGAATGAAATTTGATTGATAAGTGTATAATGCACTGAAATATGGTTAATAAAAGAGGGTTTTTAAGTGTTGAAATGAATTAAAGAAGTTCTATAAGGTTTAAAGAAGTAAAACAAAGTTTCTCTAAAATAATCGATTATTTTAAAATATAATCGATTATTGTAAGTAAGTCTAGACAAATAATCGATTATCCTACAAAATAATCGATTATCTAGAAGGATTTGAATTCTAGAAGTATCTGGAATAATCGATTATTTGAGTAAATAATCGATGATCTGGCAAGAAAGAAAACTTTGAGTCCCTGTAATAATCGATTATTTGGGAAATAATCGATTATCTGAGTAGGATAGAAGAAATGAGCCTCTGGAATAATCGATTATTCTAGAAATAATCGATTATTCTAGAAATAATCGATTATCTAGGAGCAAATTTGAAAAATAGTCTTTGGAATAATCGATTATTCTATAAATAATCAATTATTTAGTGCAGAAAGTGTTTTGAAGTGGATTTTTCTGATACAAATAATCGATTATTTGTATGGATAATCGATTATTTTCGCGACCCTTCATTTTTCAAGAGGTTTTTGAACGGTTATCTTCACACCAACTCCCAACCTCCCACCTTCCTTCATAAGTGGCACCTCCTCAATACCCAATCTGGTGCCTTGGGAATTAAACTCACCCAACACTCACATTTTCTATAAAACCCACACACATTCTCTCAACTTTCACACACACAAACCCTAACCTCTCAATTCCTATTATTCTTGTTTTTCTCTTCTCCAACCAAGAACCCACCTTTTTCTACAAAATGGCCTCATCTTCCAAAAGGATCAAGAAGCTCGAAGTCAAGGGGAGCAAAAGACCTCTGCCCACTGGAGCTGAGCAATTGATTGGCAAATGGTTTGCTAACAAAGAAGCCCAAGATTACTACTTTGATTAAAAAAAACTAACCTAAATAATATAAAAAGACATATGTTTAAAATTATTAAAATTATTAAATTATTAAATTATGAATGAATTATTCATAATTTGAATTTTTTTAATTGAGAGGATTTTCTCTCTCTAGATTTTTAGGAATTACTTTTGATTCCTATCCTTGAATTTCCTAATTCAAAGTGATGAAATTTCTTTAAGTTATCAATCTTCAAAGATTGTCGCATTATTCTTCCATTTCTTATCTCAATCCATACTTTTTTATTTTTAATTTCTTTATTTTCTTATAGAATGTCAAAAAAAATTCATATTTTATTAAAATATTGATGTTACAAGGTTCATATCATTATTTCTTTCAAAATTTAAATAATTTTTAATAAAGTTAAGGATTAAAGATTGATATATATATAGGGTTTAATCTCCTGAAGTAACGCTGCACCGAGCTCTCAGCGTCGATGAGCCGAACCCTCCTTGGATTACGCGTTGTGAAATCGACGCGTGGACTCCGATGGAGGGTTCCTAGAGTTGACAAAGTGGCCTGGAAATCATGCCGAGATTTCTGATAGAAGTGGCCTGAAAATGCCCGAGTTTGAGGTCGTGCCGTGGCCTTTTTAGATGTTGGGAGCCGATACCGAGACCACCGAGATGAGTGGGCCTCAAATGTTGGAATTAATTGTTGTGCCGAGACCTCATTGTGTGTTGAAGGTCGTGCCGAGGTTGAAACGAGTGTGACTTGCCACGTTGGCCTTGGCGGTTACAGGCCCAACGGTTATTTAATCTGGACCGTTGGATGTTCTAGATCGAACGGTCCCGGTCTTGCTAAGGCTTTTCACCTTCCCCGTTTACCTCACCTATAAATAGGGGGGGGGTGTGAGAATTTACTTGCTGTAAATTCTCCGAGCTCTCTCGCAATCAGATTCGACCGAGCTAACCGAGTAAGGTAAATTTTGTATTCGTTATTTTTTAGCAATAAATGGATAGGGGATATTCCTCGGCAATGAGTTGGACGTCCTCGGAGAGTTCGGACACTAATTCAAGTAGAGGGGGGTCGGGGTCAAGTGAGATATCTAGGCTGCCGCCTCTGCAGTGCGAGGTAGTGTTTCCTTCCGACCGCCCTGAGCCAGAAGATAGTGGGGATGAGGTGGTTGAGATCTCGCCACCGCCGAATCTGGGTGTGGCTCTGGCGCGAGCTGTCGAAGTTGACAAGAGGGGGGTGAGTTCGGTCGGGGTAGAGCCTGCTGACGTGGAGATTCAGGGGGGTGTAATGGAAGTGATCGGTGGTGGTCGAGACGTAAGGTCACTTCGAGACCTAAGCCGAGAGCGAGGATTGAATATGGCTCTCTGGAGATGTCGGGGTATGAATGGGTAGACGGAGAGGTCGGCATATATTTCTCCAAGTGGTCTGACCAAGCCATGCTAGACACCTTTGTTTCTTTGGAGAAGTGTTTTGGCAGCGAATTAAAATCTATAATTAGCTTTTTACATTTTTTATCTTATTTTTATTTTCCTCTTTTCTCTGACATGACTGATTAGAATGTTTTCACATATCCTTGTGTGCAGCATTGCAGGGAAGGCAAATTTGGAGAAGTCAGACTTAGAACCAGCTTTGAAAGCTCTAAAGGATAGGCTCATGACCAAGAATGTGGTGCGTGTTTTTACTCAATAGTGTTATTTTTCTCTTCTTTATACTCTGTATATACCTTAGGAATAGTGCTAGTAACACATTCTCCCTCCTCCATTAGTTAAAATTTATTGAAAACTACAAAATCATGAGAGTTTCATTAAATAGAACGAGACCCGCAAAATTTTGTGATTTCCTATAAATTTCAAACTAATAGGAGTAGGTGTGTTCAAAATAGTGTCAGAGAATGTGTTCCTAGCATTTCTCATGTCACATCTTAATGGGTAGGTAATCATTTGGGTCCTTTACCTAGATAATATTGTTTTCATTCTATGTTTCTTGTAGGCTGAGGAGATAGCTGAGAAACTCTGTGAATCAGTGGCAGCAAGTCTTGAAGGCAAAAAGCTGGCTTCATTTACAAGGATATCTTCAACAGTGCAGGTTTGTTTCTATCTTCTTTCGTATCTACATTTGGTGCTGCCTTTACATTTATGAATGCACTTGTATAACATTTGTACTAACAGTATAACTTTAAAATATTAATGTAGGCGGCAATGGAAGAAGCACTTGTTCGAATTTTAACTCCTAGACGTTCAATTGATATACTAAGGGATGTGCATGCTGCCAAGGAGCAAAGGAAACCATATGTTGTTGTATTTGTTGGTGTTAATGGTGTTGGAAAATCTACTAATCTAGCTAAGGTGGAGTAGATCATATAGTTATCCAATATAGTTAGGATTCCATATTTAGTGTGCCTTTTAACTTGAAAAGATTGGCTTATTTTATGTGTTGCCTCGTAGGTTGCTTACTGGCTTCTGCAGCACAATGTCAGTGTTATGATGGCAGCTTGTGACACATTTCGATCAGGGGCTGTTGAGCAGCTGCGGACTCATGCTCGTAGACTTCAGGTTTATATTGAATTTACTGCTTAAATTACTGGTGTTCTTTAACCTGTGTTTATTTTCCTAGATCATGTTAAAACTTTTTACTAGAAGCATTTTGTCTTATAAGTTCTCTGTTTCAGATCCCTATATTTGAGAAGGGCTATGAGAAAGATCCGGCCATTGTGGCAAAAGAAGCAATTCAGGAAGCTTCACGCAATGGTTCAGATGTGGTTCTTGTTGATACAGCTGGTCGTATGCAGGTATTAATGTAGTTATTATTCTTCTCAAGAGCTAGATTATTTTATCAGATGTTTGGGTTATATATGTGACGTTTGCTACCGTACAAATGGCAGGTTACTCTAACCATTGACACCCTCTATTTTTGTTTTTTCTGTTATTGTTCAACAACGAACATTCTCGAACTGAACTGATTGAATCATTGTGGCTCTGTATACATAATAATATTAGATGGTGTTTATTTGAATGCTTTTATGTACATCTGATATGTGGCTGCTGGTTTACTCAGGATAATGAACCACTGATGAGAGCACTGTCAAAGCTCATCTACCTGAACAATCCAGATCTGGTCTTATTTGTTGGAGAAGCACTTGTTGGTAATGACGCAGTTGATCAGCTTTCAAAGTTCAATCAGGTTTGATTTATATTCTGCTTAATATCCCTGCTAATAGTCTTTTTCCTATTTTTATTTCCTACATTTAACCCCAAACTGTTCACCCCAGAAATTAGCTGACCTCTCAGCATCAGCTAATCCAAGATTGATTGATGGTATCTTGCTCACAAAGTTCGACACCATTGATGACAAGGTACATGAATTCTAAAATTGCAAGTATGAATTTTGGGCTTAACATATGATATGGATCCTGTTTGATCATGAATAATTATTGGTTTCCCGATGATTCCCTTGTCAGGTGGGAGCTGCACTTTCAATGGTTTACATATCTGGAGCTCCTGTCATGTTTGTTGGCTGTGGACAGTCTTATACTGACCTCAAGAAACTCAATGTCAAATCAATTGTGAAAACTCTCCTAAAATGAGGGCACTATTTTACCTTGCAATGCTGTTCACCTGTCGTGTGTTTCTGTTTGATGATGAACTTGTTGATCCTCGTTTATCCCATTACTTTGTGAGGAAAAAATACTGTGGCTTTGACATTCATGCAATTTGGTTTGTTTAGTTAAGAAGCTTGTATTCAGCATCGTCCCTACTTGCACCCTTTTGGGGTGCTTCTTCATGAGTGTAATATATAAGGTGCAGTGAAAGACGTTTCCTAATATACTCGAGACCTTCTTCCTTCCACCCTCATGGGAAGCTTTTTCCAACTCCAGTTTTAAACAAACCGTCAAACATACATATTAACAAAATAAAGGTGATTTACGATAATACAAATTGTAATCTGTCATAAATTTTATGTCAAATAAGTTATTTTACATTTTGTTAAATCGTAAAATCTAACGCCGTTTTGAAATGTAGTTTAAAGTTATTTTCATATTTTATAACCTAGTAACATTTGGGACAAAGATGTGTTCGTGATCATCTAATTACAATTTACAAGCATTATAAGGTTTCTAAGCAAACAAATCTCGACCATGTGACTACAAGTCTATAATCAAACTCCTGAAATGCCGACTCCACGCGGAAAATGTTAGAATCACAATATAATGGCGATATGCATGTTCTAGGTTGAATCTTGGAGGGTAATTGTGTAACGACCTGTTATGGTCGTTATACTACGAAACAATACTACGCACCACTGGAATATATACTAAAATAGTATAATAAATAAATTTACAACACAAGTTGTCAAGCAAGTAACCAACAACACCTAGCTATATATAACAAAATATGCTACTATAAGGTAGCCTACAAAAGAAAACATCCACTCTAGGCACCTCCTGTGGTCTCTAGCAGCTATCTCTCAGCATATCCCTGCCTGTTCCCATACATCGTATGATCATCGCAGTTCAACCAACATGGAAACATGCAAGGGTAAGCTAGAGACAATAAACAACTCATAATAATTAAATATGCAACACAATCAACTATATAATCATCTTCACGTCCATCACAGAGGACAAACAACACGCATACTACACATCTTAATATCATTTCAACTTAATTCAGTACATCAACACTGATCAACATAGTATGAACACCTCAACGCAAACTATTAGACACCTCATCATAATAGCAACAACATTTTAAACACATCATACTTTATTCAAATTGGTCGCTTGTAATCGGTATAGCTCGGCCTGACCCTTATACCGTGGTCGCTTTATACACATGTGCCTCGACCTTGCCCATACACGGGATCGACTAAGTCCTAGAGGAGAACAACACATCATTCACTCCAAGGGACAACTTCCCAAGGAGGGTTTTTCAACAAATTGGGCTCTCAAAGCACCACAACTATCTCAATACGCACAATGGGATGAATAACTTAGAAAATTTCTCCTCTAGTTCTAGACAAAAAAAAAACATACTGAAAATAGAATAAAATGGAAAGATTGTTTGGTTACCAGAGAAAACCAATTTTCGAAAGGATTTTAAACAATATAAACACAAGAGATCAATCTTGGATGATGAAGAGTAATATTCAGGACATGTGCATCATATTAATTGTTTAATATTATAAATTGTTTAGTTGTCTATTAAGCAAATAATTTTGCTTTTATGGTTGTTTATTTACTTCTTACTTAACAAATTAATAGAACATCAAGCATTGTTGGTGTATCAAATAACAACTTTACAACAATATTAGTCTAGATATATATTTTTTTTTTCTGTAAAGATTAGTATAGATAAATAATACACAAGTTTGACCACTAGGTCGTAGACACAATAACAAACTCTAAACTACGTTTGAAAAAAAATCCACAAAGCAACTACTTTGATTTGGGGAAATTTTACCAACTACCCTAAAATTAGTTTTACACTAATTCATTCAAATAGGGAGACTCAACTTCATTTGAATTAAAAAATAAGGATGAATACACTATAAAATTGAAAAACTTACCTAACATTGAAGCTTGTTGGATTAATTCACTCAATTACTTCACTAAATTGCATCACTAGAACGCACCTTGTAATCACTTCATGAAATTATGCGAACCTTCATCACTTTCAAAACAAGAATTGCACTGCCTAATCACTTCCGGGCATAATGACCTAGTATGCAGTTTGCGAGGAAGATTGAAAAGGGTTAGTATAAACAAATCAATTAATCAAATGAGAAATCACAAAGAGAAAGAAAAACGAAAAAAAAAAAAAAAAAAAAGAAGAAAGAAACCAGCAAAAAAGAAAAGAAAAAAAAAATCAAACCGAAAAAAAAAAACGCAAAATAGAGAGAACTTTTTGAACTTCCATACCTACTTCTAAGAGTGAACAGGGAAAGCTTCCAATAGTGAATAGCGAAGAGATTTATGTATAATATTTTACCCTAAAACTTAATTTAACACTAAAATAATTAATATTTTAAATAAAAAAATTATATCGATAAAATTAACGATAATATGGATGCTGAGTTGATTTATTTTAGTAGTAAAAATTAATGGTGTTTAAAAAGATTTAAAAATAAATATTATATAAATTTGATAGACTAAAATTAAGAAAAAAAATTTGAAGGACTAAAATTAAATAGAATGAATTTTTGGAGGACCAAAATCATATTTAACCATATATGTATATATTAAAGAATCCAATTCTCTATAAAAAAAAATAATTTCAATTTTTTTTTATAAAAATTACAATTACAACAACATGATTTGAACATAAAATTTTGTGTATATTATCAATAACACATTTAAGTCGTTTTATTATTAACATTAGAGGTTGGTGTCGGGCAGGTCCGAGTCCAAAATCCTAAATCTAAAAGAAAATTGACTCCTTAAAACTTGGACCCATTTTTGCCGGGTATACCATTGGTTTAATTGGACTTTAGATTAATTTGGTGAGGGGTGGATTGCATGGATTTGTGTAAGGCAGATGATAAACACACCTCCAGTCTCGTATAAACACACCCCCTTTTTTAAAATAAAATATATAAAATGTCTAAATTACCCTTTTAAAAAAAATGAAATTTCTAAATTTACACCTCCCTTCCCCGCACCCCACACGCCACACCTCTCTTCTTCCCAAAGCTTCTTTCCGCTCAATGTCATTAAACAATATACTTTTACAGTCATTCTGAATAGAAAAAAAGGACTAGCCCTACCATAATCAGCATAAGAAAGGTTCTTTTACAGTCATTAGCATTCCGGAAAGTACTTTTACAGTCATTAGCATTCCGAAAAGTACTTTCTGGAATAGTAAAATTATTGTTCATATAATTCCGGAAAGAACTTTCCGTAATAGTAACTTTAATATTATGGAAAGTACTTTCCAGAATTATGTAACAAAACATTTCTGGAAAATACTTTCCGGAATAAGAATTTAGTATTATGGAAAGTATTTTCTGGAACATTTTTATATAATTCTGGAAAGAACTTTCCGTAACAGTAAGAAGAAGAAGAAGATGAGTGCCGGAAAGAGAAAGAAGAGAGGTGCGCAATATCAGCAGGTGGTCTTGTAAGAGAAAGACTTTTACTTGTTCTATGGAAAGACACACTAGTAAAAAAATAACTTAAAATCGGATTTTAAAAACCATCAATAAGGTAGCCATTTTAAAAGTGACGCAGTGCCCTGTACTGCAACAGACCGGCCCCAGAACGGCCTGTACTACTTTCAGTACGGCCCGTACTGCAAGCAGAACGGCCTGTACTGCTTTCAGAACGGGCCGTTCTACAAGTAGTATGGGGCGTTCTGCAAGCAGTACGGGACGTTCTACAATCAGAACGGGCCGTTCTACTTGCAGAACTGCCCGTTCTGGTGCCGTTCTGGTGCCGTTCTGTGCGGGGAAGGGGGTGCGGGGAAGGGAGATGTAAATTTAGGAATTTCATTTTTTTTAAAAGGGTAATTTAGACATTTTATATTTTTTTTTTTAAAAAAAGGTGTATTTATACGAGAGTGGAGGTGTGTTTATCATCTGCCTTTGTGTAATTTGACTCAATATATGGACCGATATACACATATTTTAGGTCCGGTCAACTTTTTGATAGCCCTTTTTCTAATTTTTTTTACTATTTAAAATTTTTACAAGCCTAATAAACAATGAATCTAAAAGTCAACTATTTAAAAATTTAATAATAATAATAGCACATGGACCAAATAATTTATTTATTTTTAATTAATTATAAATATAAAAACATTTGATATATAAGAAGCAATAAAAAAATTATGAGTTTTGTTTGATTTAAATTATATGTGGACAGATTGGGTTTCGATAGATTTAAAATTTCAAATATGAACCTACTTGTTCAAGCTCACCGTTACCTGATAATTTGACTCTCATTACTTGAAAATCTACCAAAACCACCACAAATTTGTTTTTCTTGGAGTTTATTCTTGTTCAGGTGGGTTGTAAGCTTTTGCCTACCCCTAATTTGTAACATCATAATCTTTAAATGCAAATAATAAATGAATTAAAATAATTAAAAAATATTATAGAAATATTTTATTAATAAAAATAAAATAGGAAGAGCTAATCAAAAGATATTGGACTAGACTTTAGGTCTAACCCAAATACTAATTCAAAAGAGGAAATAGAAAAGAAAAAAAAAAGACTAGGTCATTTGTGCTCATTTTTAAAAATCTAGAGCATTCGTAAGAGAAGAATTAGAGAAAAATATTGGGGGAGGCACATATTAGACAAGCAATACTAAAAAAGCATCATTTCGCAAAATCGTCATTCTAGGTAGAAGGAAGTGAGATTATCAATTCCTTAAAATTATATGAGGGATAAGGGTAAAGGGATGATCCCTGAGCCTCGTAGGTTGTATATTTAAGTTGTCTTGTGTGTATGAATACCTTTATGACTCTATTGATACTTTGATGATGAATTTGGGATGTTGTTCTGTTTTATCCATTTGAATGATGAGTTCGTTCCTTTGAAAGTTAGGTTTGTCATGTATGAATTAGGGAAATTGAGTTAAATTGAACGAATCCTGATGAATTAATGTTATAAGGATACCTTTTGAGTGTGGTTTGATCAATTGATTAATTTACCAATTTGTGAGTGTGTTATAAAGGAACAAGGGCAGTACAAATCATGATTTTGCAAACTACAAAATTTGTGACTGCATGGATTGTGAAAATGGTCTTGTCGAGCGTTGGTCTACTAAAGAGGTCTCAAATCTCTCGGCGTTGGGCGTGAGATGTTGTGCCCAATGCCATTTGATGTTAATTTTTATGAGCATGGT